CCTGCCCTATTTCTTTGCTTCCCTTCACATCAAGGTTTCTAGAAGAACTACAAATGTCAGCTGGGTGACTTTCCTGAATGCCAGAACATTCCTCAGTTTCCTGGGTCCTCACCAGCCTGGCTTTTGCCCCCTGCCCTTCACAAGACCCATAATTAATTTTCCTAAGAACCTTCAGCTAGCAAATGAAAACACATTTCTTCACATTGCCCTTGTTAGCTTGGAGCTTGCAGCACACAGCTTTGCAGTGCTTGGATTAAGGAGCTATCACTAGGGAGGAAGAAGACAAGATAGAGAGAAACGACCTGTTTCTCAACCTGCCTTCCAGGACCACCTCTTCAATTTCACCATCAATCTTCAGTCTCTTCATCAAAGGAGTCCCTCTGATATTCTCCTTTGTCCTTTATACCTTTCCCTTTATTTCAGACCCTGCACAAAGCCATCCATGACCAGAGATTCATCTACATACACAGGTCATCCCTATATGTATAATCTGTAGTAAATATACATATTTTCTCCTTGTGGCCCTTACTTATATTCTGGTTGTTAGCATATAGCCAAGAGGTACCTGACCACCTACAAGCCTACCTGTGCCAGTCTTTTATTCACACTGGAAATACCTCTGTCTCTCATGATGTCTACATATTCCACCAGAGCAGGAAGCAGAAGCAACATGAACTAGCTTGTAGAAGGAATCAACTGGCAATGGCCCTAACTCTGACCTTAGATCAGTAGAGCTGTGGTCCCTGTCCAACCTTCCGGCCTTCATAATCACCCTTGGGTTTGATGATGAGTCTTGGATTCCTGGGATGGCCACAACTAGCTCTTGGAGCAGTTTAATTTGACTATCTTAGACGCCAAACCAAACACTAAACAGTCAAACAGGATTACTGGTCCCAGGGCTTAGAAAACAGCCAGTGACCCAACACAAAAATAGTGCTCTTTCCTGAGAATTGCCATGAAAGGCTTAAGTGAGCTCCTTAAGAGCCAGGACCTGTTGCACTCATCTCTGGGTTCCCGAGGATGCAGCACCTTACAGAAAGAAGGTACCAGCCACTGACATTGTCCTTCCTTCCTGGGATCAGAATATCACAGACATAAGTGACAACAGGATCCTCAAGCAACTATTTGAGCTAAATTAAAATGGAAATACTCCAAATAATATTTGGATAAAGCAAAGGAGGAGAAGTAGGGGAAGGGGGAAAAGTAGAGGAGAAATCATGTATATACAGTTAATTCTTGTTATTTACAGTAGTTATGGTCTATAAGTCACTATGGACACTGGATTAGTGAACACTGAACCATTGCTCTTGGGGAAATACAGGGTTAGGTTCCTGTGAGCCTCTAGTCACAACATTTTTGTCAACTGATCAATATAGAAACTTGTTTTCTGTTTAAAGTCACCTTATTTAATAAATATTGTTGATTTAGTAACATTTAGCCAGTAGCCAATATACAACCAACAGCACTATAGCTCACGTCTGAATGAAGCTTGTCTAACACACACAATTTCTCCAGAAGGCACATCAAGTCTTTCTTGTGCTTAAGAACACTAGACAGCACTTTAGCACCATGCTTGGGAACCATTTTAAACAGTGAAATCACCAACAAAAATCACAAAAATGCAAAAAAAAAAAAATTCTAAGTAGATCGTGAAGAGGATACTTGTTTATAATATGAAAGCTGAGATGGAAGGCA